CCCCAAAACCCCAAAACCCCAATTGATGAAAATTGAAAAATGTTCGTGCATAATATACGGTAATTAGTGTTCTATCAAATTTATAGTCTTATAGATTATTTTCTTAGTCCAACAAAACCTATTGGTTTGCTATTATTGTGTTCACTTTATGCGCTTTTTCTTATTTGTAATGATTCTAACTCCTGTTGCTACTTTACATAATTTTTAAATTTTTCAGACTTCTCAATAAGTTATTGAGGTTTTTGCAGGTAAATTTCATCAACTAACAAATGAGGCCCTTTGTAAAGATTGATTTTTTTCTAATGCATTTTGGAATTAACATAAGAGGTCTAAGTTCCACTTTTACTCTTTATTTTGCTATTTCTATTTCTATTTGAAAGTTATCCGTTAAGTGCATCATTGTTTATTAGCGTAATCATATCATTATATTATTCAGTGGTTAAGACATTGTTATCTTGGGAATGTTTTACTCTGGAACTCATTAAATTAGCTTTTACCTCAAAATTCAAAGCTGGATGAAGTCTATTAGTAGATTAATGAGTTTCAGAATCTCTATTTTTTACCAATGTAATCTAAAAATTCTCTGTGTCTAATTCTGTTGGAACATCCTCATCAGAGGTATGACCTTGATTAATGCTATCATTTTCATCAACATTATTCATTTAGATATTGCTCTGATTTATTGTATTTTTCTAAATCTGAGGGTTTAGATTAAAAATATCATGCCCCTTCTTAGGTCTTGTCTCCTCACTTTCATCATCATCCTCTACTTCATCTGACTATCTAGAATTAGATCTCTCTTTTTTGGGCCCTTAAGAATTTCCAGATTGTAACCCTTAGTTTCCTTGTATTTGAATGGGATGAATTTGCACTTGCATATCGGATCTTTTATTTTACCTTCTAGCAGATTTGTCCATACTTTTAGATCTCACTTCATTCATTAAAATCAGGTGATTATTATTTGTGGAGATTGAGAAATTGTCAAGGAATTCACTTAACGGTGCAATGAAATCGTAAATTACATCTAAATTGTTATGATCCATATTTTCTGGTAATAACAGAAAGCTTGGGCCTCCGCAAGTGTCACATAATCTTTGAGAATGAGAAAAGTTCACAAGATTATCCTTCATTCCGTGGAGGATAAATGTTGGACACCTAACTTTAGCGATTGCTTCAATATTTCTGAATCTTTCAGCTATCACATATTATGTGAATCTGCCAAGGAATTAATCTTTAACAACACCTCTGATAGAAGTATGAGGTGAAATTAGGACTAAACATGCTGGCTTATAATTTGAAGAAATATAGCAAGCTGGGCCACTTCCAATGGATCTTCCACACACTATTATATCAGATTCCTTCCAAAATAGCTGTTTCAAAACAAAGTTATACACTATATCTGCGTCTGAAATAATTTTTTCTGCAGAAGATGTCTCACCTTAGTACACTCCATATCCTGGATATTCAACTGCTAGTACATGCATCTTCAAATAAACGTTGACATAGGTTAGAAATTTCAAGGCTTTACCTAAGTCTTCAGCATTAGCATGAAAATATAGGAAAATTTTTGACGAACCTTGCTCATATTTCAATAACAGACAAGGTATGAAATCAGAAATTTTCCTTTTGCATGCTTATTCATAGTCTACACTAGACTAAGAAATTAAGGAGAAAAGTTTATCGTTTTTATCTTAAATCCCTTTATTAATATTAGAAGAGGACAGCGGTGAACTGAGATTATCCATAGAGTAGTTTGGAGATTTCGGATTGCTGCCAAATTAATGACTATTTTTACTCTATTTAGACACATTTACACTTTGATATAGTGCCCCATAATCTTCGTTGTTGCTTGAGAATTTCTAGGACAACTTGTTAGCTTTTAAATCTTTTTTAACATGAACACTCTCTCTAGTATTAAGAGACAAACTGTCTCTTAATTTATGTGACAGTCTAGTTAGCATTTTCCCTTTGAATGAGGGGGCTCCATTCTTTGGTACAAAAGCATATGGTTGGGATGCTCTTAAATTTTAAAAATTCAAAGTTTATTCAGTAGGAACATCTTCTGCACGGTATTTATCTGCAAAGTGTGAGAGTTGCTTGAATTGATATGGATCTGTATGAATTGATATATCTGCTTTTATAGGAGATTAGTACTTGATCTACATACTCTAAGTGATCTGATGAGTAGCTTTTTAACTTTTTATTTATTGATGGCCACTAACGATAACTGGTTTGCTGTAGCTTGTCAGTCTTTGAGATTAAGGGAAATCGAGTGATTGAGTTGAAAAAAAGTTGAAATCATTAGGTGCCTTACTCAATTTAGGGTTTTTAAGCTCAAATTTTGGAATAAAAATAAGCTTATCGCCTAAAGTTTCATAGGAGTAGGATGATTTCGGTCTTGGAAATACAATTAGGTTTAATTCCATGTTAATAAAAATTAATAGGTTTAATTTATATTCCTAGTGAATTCTTATTTCATTGTGCAATCAGCTGATACTAAATGTCGGGGTTTTGGGGTTTTGGGGTTTTGGGG